TTCAATTTTAGTTTGATAAAAGTGATAAAAAATAAGGTTCTTATTTGTAGAATAAGAAGAAGCAGCAGCAGCATTGGTGCTGGTTAATTGCACTATCTACTGTAGTCTTGTTTTGTGAATTTTGTTTGTATATAGATGGCTCCACAAGTTCTTAGCCATCAAGGAATCAGTTAGTGGATCTACCAGATCTAACTTATTATCCCTATTCCTTGAATTTTTGAGAAAGTAGGTTTTCTAATGCTATTAATATCAATATTGTTATTATCATTATGATTATTATTGATATTGTAATTTTTATAATATTGTTACAAATACTAACAACAATTGGAAATAGAAGGGTAAATAGGTCAGATCAGGTAGGACAAAGCTCTTATGAAGCCATCTCTAAAAAGTGACTGTGCATGTTTGTGCAAGCCATCCCAGCATCACTGGGTTAGTTTAGAGAAGATGATATTGTTAAGTGAATAAATAATCCAGATTGGTCTAAATAAGTATAGACAGTATTAGGTATTGTCTGTGATGAACTTGATCAGGTTTTTAATTTATTCAGATAGACATACAGTATGTGCAGTATTTCATTTAATTACTGGACAAGTCATTAGCTTTAATTACTGTAAATGGAAGACAGTAAGTCATATATTTCTGTTTTCAACATTATGTATTGGATGTATGGAGAAAAAAAATCACATGTAGATTTACTTGGAGAGTTTATATCTTTCATTTGTTTTGCTAAGGAAATACTATTATATCTTTTTTATCCTTAGGTTCCTTTCTGTATGTCAAAGATGTATAGTTATCAGGAATATATACAGTAGGCTTTTTAGGTTAGTGTGTGACTAATCTCTGTTTTTTGTCAAATAATGTCACCTTGTAGTACCAAATATTGTTTTGATATTTTCGTAAAAACATTTTTATTTCCACAGAGATGAAGATTCCAGATATATATTTTTGTCATTGGAATCATCTGATTGGCAGAAGTATCATGATTTACCATGTATTTCAACATAGCAAAATGTACTAATAATGTCATTGCTAAAATCCAAACTCCAGGTATTTACCTACCTGAGTTAGGCTTTCTTTTTTCATCATTGTAATTGTGAGATTTTACAAAGAAATATATATGATTATATTTGATGCTTTTTATGACACAAGTATCCTAATTCATATAGTTATTTCTTACTGAAGGGAGTATGCAACCTGGGGTTCCCTAAATAAAATATTTGGAATATTGAGTTGAAACTTTCAAGATAAATAGTTATCTATGTTACATTTTTTTCTGCAAACCAGGACACTGTAGGCTATGTGTATTCATTACATACACATGTATGTATTTGTGGTGTGACACATTGAATTACACATTTAAATAATCTTTTTTTTCTGGCTATGAATAGTCATTTGGCTTGCCTACTGCCACAAGCAACATATTTGGAATTTTTCACATATACAAATGCATGCTGGCATATCTTTTTATCATGTGCATTCAATACTGAGTAAGACTGGGTAATTTTTCACTTTTTCTATTATTACCCTTCCTTCTTTTACCCCCACAATCCATTTCTTGTTGTCGTGGGAGGCTTAGGAGATGGAGACAGAGGCACAATGTAAGAGATTACATATACCTTGAGCCTTAGCCCTTGCCTTAACTAATCTTGCATCGTCTTTTCTTCTCCCCCTGTCCTTTTCCTTCCCTTCTTCATCCCCTTCTTCTGCCCATGTCCTAAGGTGTGCAAGCTGTGCTTAAAGGACGAAAGACTGGCTTTGTATCAGTCTTGAATGGCCTCTGGGAGCTATGGGCATGTTATTCCCTTGGTTAATTGCTAGACCATTACTTTTCCCCACTTGTTTCAGGTTCACCATGACCAGCAATGATTTTTTTTTTTTTATCTTTATTAAGGACATTAAGGCTTGCCCCTTCATCAAAGAGCCCATCTAAATTTAATTTCATTGGTTTTTCTGACCCCTATATATACTTATCGCTCTCCCGTCTCGCGTAGTACTTATACTATATATATATAGCTGGTTATTTATATAGTATACTCTATCAGTCATGTTCGTTGTTGTATGTACCGTTATTATATTATAGTAGTATATTATATGACTTTAAATTTCATTGATATCATAGTCATTATCCATAAACTACATCATAGTATATCCTGCTTATATTTTATATATTATATAACATATTTATTTATATATTTTATCATATTATGACTTGCAGTATCAGTCAATTCTGACTATAGCGTATCGTATAATATTATATGTTTTAGGATATATCTCGTAACTACGTACTATATTTATATCATATATACTATATTATATAGTAGATCACTAGAACTATATATAATCATTGCTGCTTATGATACTCACTAGCTATTACGCACTATATACTATATAGCTATTGTCAGCTATCTAGTACTATCTCTCGCCGCGCTATATCTATCGTTATTAATTGATAGCTTTCACTAGACGGTTAGTACTATTACTATATATTTACAAATGATACCTATATTATTATTACTATATATATCGCTACTCTAGCTATATCGGAATATATTATGAACTATTATATAATATATATATTAAATCTAATACTTATACTATATATATTACTATATACTAGTTATTATATCAATACTATAATATATACTTAAACGCTACTATATATAACTCATAAATTCAATATAGCTATACAGCATTTAGCTATACATATATGAGTAATATAATATATATTACCTATATATATATCATATATATGGNTGTATATATATATAAGCACACATATGTATGTGTATATATGTAATATATACATATATATAAATATATATGTATATATGTGCACATGTTTGTATACATATGTGTATATATAAATATATATAAATAGATATATAAATTCCACAGGTATTTCTTCCATGCTTTTATCACTAAAGAATACAAAGCCTCCAATATTCCTTCTATAGCACTGTGCTATTGATGAAGGAGAACCTATGACCCAGTTATTAAGAATAGTTCTGCAGTAAAATGTGACGCATGGTTGAGCTAATAATAACCTCCAGGAAATCTTCGTGGATATTCCATCGATCTGTGCGTATGTGTGTGTGTGTATGTGTGTGTGTGTGTGTGTGTGTGCGTATGTGTGTGTGTATGTGTGTGTGTGTGTGTGTGTGTGTGTGTGTGTGTGTGTGTGTGTGTGTGTGTGTGTTGTGTGTGTGTGTGTGTGTGTGTGTGCGTGTGTGTGTGTGTGTGTGTGTGTGTGCGTGTGTGGTGTGTGTGTGTGTGTGTGTGTGTGTGTGTGTGTGTGCGTATGTGTGTGTATGTGAGTGTGTGTGTGTGTGTGTGTGTGTGCGTGTGTGTGTGTGTGTGTGTGTGTGTGTGTGTGTGTGTGTGTATGTGTGTGTGTGTGTGTGTGTGTGTGTGTGTGTGTGTGTGTGTGTGTGTGTGTGTGTGTGTTGTGTGTGTGTGTGTGTGTGTGTGTGTGTGTATGTGTGTGTGTGTGTGTGTGTGTGTGTTGTGTGTTGTGTGTGTATGTGTGTGTGTGTGTGTGTGTGTGTGTGTGTGTGTGTGTGTGTGTGTGTGTGTGTGTGTGTGTGTGTATGGCCTACATTTTTTTCGTTTCATAAATAAACAAGAAATCATTCAGAAAGGTTGAGAAGATAAAAT